AATGTGGTTCAATCAGTTGTTTATTAAATATTATTTTCTCTATTCTTAATATAAATTCAATAGAATGTAAATCGAAATTGAAAGATCGATTTTATTATGTGGATTCAACTGCTTTGATTGGTTTATGAGGGGTTTCTTCTAGCATAGTATAATATTATTCATTTAAAATATATAAGTCGCGCGTAGCACGTCGTGATTCAAAAAATGTCTTCTGCACATGAGTGAGTGCGTTCACGAAGGCTAGTATTAAGACAATGCCAATAAACTGCTAAGAAGTTAATATCTTTTCGTATCATGTCAGACTTACTTTTGGTAAATTGGATGTTAATTAACTTTTGGTTTTGTTTGGCAGTGGGGCATATCTTCTTGGACATATCCTTTAAGATTCTTAACATTAAGAAGAAAACAATAGTAACAAGAAGCTAGATAGCTAAATCACACTCATACAACTAATTTCAGTCGGTGATCTTGTAAGTAGATGGGGCGGCAAGGCAGATTGTTTTTCTATTAAAGGTATGAGATCGACTGAAGAACTACAAATTGTTCTTCTTGATCGAATTGGAGTCAACTAGTCGAGTAAGAAGATGAATATAGTGCACAAAATTAGGGCTAAAGTTATTGTAAACCGCATGAAGGGAATCATGAACTTGATTATTTCTACTTAACAGGGTTCTTTCGTCCCTGGTTGGCTAATTTCAGATAACCCCATAATAACATCGAAAGTGGGCCACTATTTGCATAATCTTTAGAGGGGTAAGCGAGGCTATTTAGCTTTGGAGCCTGACATAAGCAAGGAATATGACATAATGGAATGGGGCTTTCTGTGGATGATGCTTCTAAAATTAGGTTTTGATCCGAATTGGACTGAAACTGTAATGAGTTGTGTTAGCTTTGTCTTTTATTCCTTTTTGGTCAATGGTGAAATCACTGGGTATATTTCCCAGTCTTGTGGACTCAAGCAAAGGGATCCTCTTTCCCCTACTTGTTTTTGCTATGTGCCGAAGGTTTAACGAGCCTAATTGCTAGAAATGAACAACAAGGACATATTCATGGTGTTTCCATCTGTCAGGGTGTTCCTAGCATTTCACATTTGCTTTTCGCTGACGACAACTTCTTGTTTCTTAGAGCCTTGTTTAAGGAATGTTGGTATCTTAAAGAAATTTTGTTGTTGCTTGCTTGGGTGTCACACGAGTTGATGTTCAAGACCTTTTTTGGGCCTTCTGATGATTCTTAGCAGAAATCGCTCTATTAAATTCACTCACATTAAGGACCGTTTATGGAAAAAATTGAAGTGTTGGAAAGAGAAGCTTCTTAGTGTGGCCAAAAAAGAAATCTTGATCAAAGTATTTGGGCAGTCTTTGCCCATCTATTCTATGAATTGTTTTCTTCTACCTAAAACGTTATGTGATGAACTACAAAGCATTCTTTGTCGTTTCTGGAGGGGTGGTGGTAAGGATTGCCAGCATATTCACTAGCTGTCGTGGGAAAAAATGTGTAGCCTGAAAAACAAAGGGTGACACACCCTGATCCCGATGTCTGAAGGACAATGTGATGGTTGACACCTAAGGGTGACGCAAGCTATTTAATAAATGCATATGCCAAGAACATGTGCAACGTGCATATATATTTTTATTTTTTTTGCATGCAACCACGCAATATAATATCCAAATATAAACCTTAACAAAAATAATAGTAATAAGGTATGGGTCACTGGACCAAAATAGAATATTCAACTGCCGACAATTTAAAAGTGATAATGCATGACATGTTCAGAGCATACTACTAATTAAGATTACAAAGAAAGGGGTCCTACATCGAGAAGACTTGAAGATACTGATACGGGAATGCCTCAACGCCGGGATCGATCACATTCCTCATTTCTAAATCCTGAAGGGGGCGTAAAACAAAACATGAATGGACCAAGTTTATATATGTGTAATACTAAAGCAATTACTCTTCAAACGTATTAGCCCCCAAGTTTTAGTAAAACTCGTATAGCTAATAAATAGTAAGTTTTCCGAAAACCCTAGCATGCCATAAAACCTTTCATAAAACATATATCGTATATAGTGCTTAGTAGTGATATCATAAATGCCCGAAGGCCCTACATCGCCCGCCCGAAGGCAATATATAAATCTTCTGCCTGGAGGCCCTACATCACCCACCCAAAGGCAATATATAATCTTCCGCTCGTAGGCCCTACATCACCCACCCTGAAGGCAATATATGAATCTTCCGCCCGTAGGCCCTACATCACCCGCCCAAAGGCAATATATAATCTTCCGCCAGTAGGCCTTACATCACCCGCCCGAAGGCATATAGTCTCATTCGCCTGAAGGCACATATATAAGAATATCCACTAAGTAAGCACAGAAAAACATAAACATAATCTTTCCCAAATATATCTCATAATAGCTCAATAGCTTAAACATCATATCATAAATCATAGGAGTGTTCTAACTCAAATCATCATCATAAACCAGTTTCAAGTATATATAATCATAAATATTTTGAAGAATGTAAAGTTGATGAAGCATGATATTTCATAAAGCGTAAATCCGATAACTCAATAAACGTTTCATAAAACGTAGTCATAAAATCATGCTTTTCATGTATGCATTTATAGCAGTAAAATCAAGCATTTTAGAAGGGTCCACTCACAGATACTCCGTCGCCGAAGAGCCGTTCGAACTAGAGAGGATGGGGTTGCCACTAACAAACGCACCTAAGCATATAAGAGGACCAATTAGTAAAACTCTAATAAAATGATTGAATTTGGGATTTGAAATTAGGATGTCGAAATTAGTCTATGAGGGGTCCCGGCCAAAACCTAAAAACGTCAACGTTGATTGAGAAACTATCTTAAAATGAATATTCATCTTTTTGGAATGTTTAAAAATATGTTTGATTCATACACAATGCTCTAGATAGTCTTGTTTTTTGGTAGATAAGTTTCTGGAACAACTTTTAGTTGATTAGAGATAAATCATTATTATTGTAGATAATGCTAAATAATAACGATAAATCATATAATTTTGAATTAACAAAAAGGTTATTATCCGTTGATTAATGACCCTTTCTAGAAAAAAAAAATTAATTAAAGTAATTTAAACTTTTACATTGTTAACGACTATTTCTATAAAAAAATAATTAATTAAAGTAATTCCTCATTATTAGGACAAAAAATAATAAAACTTATGTTTTGAAAACAAACATACCAAAAATTCAAATGTACCCAAAACTAAATGTACCAAAAATTTAAATGTACTAAGAAGCCAAATGGACCAAAAATTCAAATGTACCAAGTAACTAAATGTACCATTATAATCAAACGTACCTAACAACGAGTTTTGTTACATTCTATTTAATTTACTAAAATAAATATTTTAATAAAAAATAAAAAATAAATCTTAAATCATCATAATAAGAGATGCATAAAAATAGGAGGAAAAAAGGGAATGCTAACATGAATAGACTTCTAATGAAATAAAATTAAAGTACCAAAATTGTAGGGAAAATGTTTAATCAAATTTGGAAAAGGAATAGATGTTTAGTCTATGATATTTAAAAATGAGGCGTCTAATTCAAAACGTCCCAAAAACCAATCCATTTTTGTTAGTTCATATAAAACAAGGTCTATGCAAGACATATTCACTGATCTTATTGCACAGTACATAATAATTTTGAGTTATGATCCTAATTTTGTGATTGAATTTAATGTGTTAAATCTTTTTTTTTTAATATCAAAACTCTTAAATAAGTTATGTTCTTATTATATAATCATCTCAATACTAACTTTTTCAAACACTTTTTAAAGTTGTATCATCGTATTTGATTATATTTGCCATATTTAATTTAAGGAAAAATTAGTATCCGGTCCCTAGTTTGTACTGTTCATTGACTAAGACCTTATTAGTTTTCAAATTTTGATTCAAGTCCCTAGCATTAATGTGATAATGAATTTACATGTTTATTATATAATTTTTTAATATAAAAATTAGTAATTAATTTAGGGTTTAATACTCACACCTCTATTAAACTTCTAATTAATTTTCAATTCAAACATTTTCAAAATAATAAAAAATAAAATAAAATTAAGTTTGTACCTATTAGTTTTTTTTTATATATATAAAAAGATTCTCAATGTTTTAATCTTAAATGTACCCATTCATATAATTTTTCAAATTTTTTAATCTTAAATGTACCCATTCTCAAATATATCAATTTGTTATATGTAAAATGTAATATAAAATCCATTCAAAATTTTTAATCCATGTTTAAACTTATATAGGTACATTCTTTTTCGTTGATTTGAGAATGTATCCATGTTTTGGTACAATAACTTTTTTTGTTAATTTTGGTTAATGTACCCATACATATATGTACACACACACAATATAATAGAGAGTATAATTTATATTTTATTATTTTTAATCCCATAAATTATGGGGTTTATTTAAAATCTCATTAATATAAACAATTACAAATTTCAATTTTTATTTTTTAATTAAAAAAATATAGTAACTTACATTATTACATTAATGTCAGGGACCTCAATCAAAAACTAAAAACTAACAAGGTTTCAATTAAAGAATATTGATAGTTAAGGAGCGCATCCAAAGTGTCCCTTTATTTAATTTCTTTCATATGGCTTTCTGGCTCCGCCACTATCTTGTACGAAGGCCTTTTTTGCGGGAAATGCAGTACGTGATGTCTGGTTTCCTATAAACTTGACTATTTCCATGCAAAAGAAGTGTCAAGAAAACAAGGATGACTGGGAAGCTAATTAATAAAAAAGAAATTGCAATTCAACCACATTCAAACAGAGCACAAACATAACAAAGCGGAGAAGAATCCCACACCACAGGATCTTGAAGATGATCGAAGGGAGCTGCAATAGATTGTTGTTGTCAAACATGACATATGCGACTTGTGAATGTGTAAATGTTCTATTAACCACTTGAGCCACAAGCCTCTACAACTTATTATTGCAAACCCTTTTATTTTTTCAAAAGCTTTCGAAGTATACCGAATAAAACCGAACTCGACCTGAGTTTAATTGGTTTAGTTTGGTACTTTGGTAGGATTCGGGTGCTAAAATTTTCAGCTTGATTAGAGTCTGGCCCGCAAGCCCGGTGGCCTGTTATGTTTGATCCTGCAGAACCAACCCAACTCATGCTCATCCGTCTTTGGATGAAGGCATCACTTTCGAATTTTGTCATGGCATCATCTGGGAGGCTAACGTATGCCTCTATTCCGCCAGCCTCTTTCGTGTCAGCTAAACATATTAGGTTCATATAGGGCAGCGGCGGTACGGCCACCCATGTAGGTCTCCCCCAACCGAAATCAATATCATAGAGAGGAAATCTGCACAGACTACTGTAGGACAACGGAACAAGCGTTCCTTGTCTGGCAAACTTTTGAAGAAATCGGTTGATGTAACTCCGGTGCTCACCCTTTTGTAGCCTTTTCACATGGTCCTTGTCAATCTTGCTTGCTTCTTCTCGTACCTGCTTTACCATGTCATGACAAGATTCGTGATCATCGACTCCGCTGCTGCTGATGACGGGGGTTGTAAGGAAAATTTGATAAAAATTTCCAAATGAACAGCGTGGCAATGGTGGATCCATTCTGGAACGCATGTTCACAGTATAGACAGCCCCATGAAACCTATTCTCATCAATAGAATAATCAACCTTGGTAGCTTCTGCAAATCGCCTCCATATGAAAGTGGATACGGCTTCAACACGCGAAGGACGTTTTTCGCGATCACCTTCCGCTAAGCCTGTATATTTTTCTCTGAGATCTTCTATGGTAGGGGCATTGAACACAAACCTCTTTGTTACTTTATTCGTTGGGATATCACCGAACATACCATAGCCAGTGACATCATTGGCGGGTGGGAAGAGTGTGGCGGAAACAAACTTTGGACGCTCTATTTTGGTTTCATTTTCTCCACGGGTTATGGCAGCCCAAGTATTGGCGAACATGACCATAGATAACCCATCTGCCAACTTGTGGGAAATGCATAGACCAATGGCAAATCCTCCACATTCAAAGATATTGAGCTGGACGCCTAAGGCAAACTCACTATTGTCATGATCACGTAGTTCAAACGGGGTGAGTTTGTGGAGTTCACCAGACATTGGACTTTGTTGAAAATCACAAAGTCGGCAGTTGGTTACTTGAGCCTCAAAGTAGGGTATACCCTCGTCGTTGCAGTCTGCAAAATGGTTGTCGATTTTGACTCGCCCGGCTAGTGGGTAGAAAAGGGTTAACACCTCAGATAAGGACTTCTTTAGGTGTTTGGATATATCAGCCACGGTGGGGGGTGGCGTCTCACCATTGAATTCATAGAAGAGGACCAAAGAGGTATAAATTGGAGGAGTTATTTGATCAAGAAAGGAGAACTGGTAACGACGAAGATGGTTTGGGGTTGGAGAAGATGGTTTGATAATCTCCGTGGAGATTACTTCTACTTCAACGTTCATCATCTGTAGCTAATTGGTTGTGGTTTTCACTTTGATGTGTCCGAATATATAGACACACCACAATAGACTCAGAGAGGAAGTATTTTTTTATCAGCACACATTGTCTTCCTGATTTCTGAATTAATTGAATTGGTCAACTATAACAGCTGGATGAAGCACATAATATTGGGTGATGATTGGTAATACTGGCAAAATGCCAGAAGTAGGGAGATTTATAATCAGCATGAAATAAGTAAGGAAAGTGTTAGCCTTTGATGAGAAATTTTTTTGTGGTACTTAACTTGCTACTGGACTATATTGAGTGGCACTACACACTACTTATAACTTGCCAGGTGTTAAACATAAATATGATTTCTTATTTTTTGTTATATATCAAAATTGTTGTAAGCCTAATTTATTGAACTATTCTAGGGGAATAGAGAGGGGGAGGCCGGCGGTAATAAGAGAGAGAAGAGAGAGATTTAATTGTGATGTATGTGAAGTTAAATCCTTACCTTAATAGGATAATATCTAACTTAGGGAATATTCCAAGATATCCCTAGATACACTAGGATTTACACAATCATATTCCTATTCTAAATATGACTGCAGCACTCCCCTTTGAGTGTGTAAATACTCAAACAAAACATGACATCAAGTTTTCAGCAGTTGAGGTAGAACAATTGATGAAGTTGTCGACACAATGGGCGAATGCAAGTTTCAAATTAAAGAATGTATGCATTGGTAGTAAAACTCAGAAAACCTCGCTATGGTAAAACCTAATGCAGGTAAAAACCCATAGACTAAGGAGAAAAATGAGAAGTATGTGTAATGTCTAAAAAAAACGTCACAAGGGACGAAGGTAGTGAACTCAACTGAGTATGATCCTCCCATGATGGGTGCCTCATCAAAACCTCGTTAGGTAGCAAAAACTAGTGGGAAAAATGCTCCTAATCGTAGGAAAAAGAGTACGTAAGGATAAAGTAAGTACACTTCTGGATACTTCTCCCTGAGTTAGACATAACTTCCAAATAATAGAACTACAAGCAATTCAACTCAGATAATTTACGCATACCAATTCATTGGACGAGCTTCTGAAAGGTAGACTTAGGCAATAACTTGGTGAAGAGATCGGCCAGGTTGTCTTGGGAACATATTTGCTTGACTTCGATGTTCTGATACTGTTGTTGCTGGTGAGAATAAAAGAACTTCGATGCTATATGCTTGGTGTTGTCTCCCTTGATGTATCCCTTCTTTAACTGCTCGATACATGCTGCATTGTCTTCAAAGATCGTCGTAGGAAGGTCAACGACAGTAGTAAGACCACTAGTGCTTCGAATATGTTCCATAACTGCTCTCAACCAAAAGCACTAACTCGAGGCTTCATGCAAGGCGAGAATCTCAGCATGGTTCGAAGAAGTCGCAACTAGCGTTTTCTTGGTAGACCTCCAAGATATTGCTGTGTCTCTAACGGTAAAGACATAGTCCATTTGAGAACGTGCCCTATGTGAGTCAAACAGATAACGAGCATCTGCGTAACCAATGAGGCGAGAATTAACTCGAGGACCCAGGAGGGGCAGCAGCTCATCTCGAGGATTCATGGGTATATAACAAGCCTAAATCTGTCGTACCTTTGAGGTAGCAAAAAATATCTTTAACACAATTTCAGTGTTTGTGTGTAGGCGCATTGCTGTATCTAGCCAAAAGGTTAACAACGAAGAAGATGTCAGGTCTAGTGCATTGAGCCAAGTATAATAAAGCACCAATTGCACTTAGGTATGGAACTTCAGGCTCCAAAATCTCTTCCTCATCCCCATTGGGATAGAATGCATCTCATTTAACATATAAAGTCCAAACAACCGTAAGAGTACTCGAAGGCTTCGCTTTATCATTATTAAAATGTCGCAACACCTTTTGGGTGCAGTTCGATTAATGTACTAGGATTCCATCCGAACAGTGCTCGATTTCCAAATTGAAACAATATAGAGTTTTCCCAAGATCCTTTATCTCGAATTCTGAATTCAAGTGAACGACAATTTCTTCAAGCTTTGCGGGAGTTCCGATGAGGTTCATGTCTTCAACATAAACTACAACGATCGCAAATCTAAAATGTGACTTCTTGATGAACATGCATGGGCATAATTTGTTATTCACATAACCTTGACTTGTCAAATATTCACTCAGACGATTATACCACATCTGCCCGGATTATTTTAATCCGTAGAATGATCTCCTTAATCTAATCAAGAGAGTGCTCCGTGGTCTAGAACTATTTGAACCAGTCAATGGAAGTCATTTTAGAACTTTCATGTAGATTTCCGTATCTAGATCTCCTAGAGATAAACGATTACCACGTCTATAAGGTGCACATTCAGTTTTTCAGAAACTACCAAACTGATAAGGTAACGAAACGTAGTATTACGACGTACCTAGAGTGCATCGATCCTTGTAGGTGCATTTGCAGCGGGTATATGTGATTTCATTACCTTTTCTAGATCAGTAAAAACATCCGACATGTTTTAAAGATCTAGAATACGACACACTTTAGTTTCAAACTGGGCAGTGCGGGGATCTAAATAAGATATAGTGGGAGTATACCACGACAATTCGTGGCGTTTTACAAGAATGTTAGGATTCTTATCTCCCCCTAACAACGGGAATGTTGTCTCTTCGAAGTGACAATTTGTAAAACATGTGGTAAAGAGATCTCCTGTCAAGGGCTCTAAGTAGTGAATAATTGATGGCTAATCATAACTGATATAGATTCTCATTATTCTCTGAGGACCCATTTTGGTACGTAGTGGCGGCACTATTGGCACATAGATTGCGCACCTAAACACACCTAAATGCGAGGCGTTAGGCTCATATCCAATGACCAACTATAAGGATGAATGAGGTTGGGTAGTGGTGGACCTCAGGCGGACCAACATAGCTGCATACAATATTGCATAACCCCATGCAGATACCGACAATTTGGTTAGCATAACCAAAGTCTAAGCTATCAATTGAATGCGCTTATGAAAACTTCTCCCATGCCATTTTGGGTGTGAACATGGGGTACATGATGTTCAACTTCAATCCCAACTGACATGCAATAATCGTCAAAAGTTTGTGACGTAAACTCTCCAACATTATCCAATCGAATCTTGATTGGATAATTAGGGTGGTGAGTCCTAAGCTTAACTATTTGTGCTAGGAGTTTTGCAAATGTAGCATTGCGTGTGGACAATAAGTAGATATGTGACCAACGTGTCGATGCGTCAACCAACACCATAAAGTAGGAATGTTTTTTGAAATGTCATCTGAACTTGTTCATATTTTTCAATTTGTCATATAAACTAAAATTTTAAGCAATTTGTCATACCAACTTTACAAAATCATTAATTTATCATCTCACCCCAACTCCGTTAAGCTTTCCATCTAATTGTTCAGGGTTATTTAGGTCATTTTAACATCTTTTCACAAGTTTTTTTTTACTTTTATTTAGAACAAACCCTTAATTTTTTTTACTTTTCTTTAGCACATATGCATCTACAACTCCATTTATGACACAAAACGTTAACTTTTTTCTCATTTATAGAGCTCGTATGAGATTATGTCTTCGTGACATCCTAAAATGAAAACTCCCACTTGTGTATCATTACATATTTAGAATAACCAGAAGAGAGTGCATTGCATGATCATTTCATTGCTATCATATAGAAAATATTGTTCCATTACCTAGAAACCCTACAATTTTTTTGTCAAATACAACTTAATAAAAGGGAAGTAAGGTATTATAATGATTGAAATAACCCTAAACACAATTCATGTGCGAGGCACATGACATATATTGATGGAAAACTTAACAGAGTTAGGGAGAGATGATAAATTAATGATTTCAAAAAGTTGGTATGACAAATTACTTAAAATTTTAGTTTATATGACAAATTTAAAAATGCGAATAAGTTCATATGACATTTCAAAAATTTTCCCCTATAAAGTATCTAAATGGTCCTCACGTTGGCTGGATAGGTCCACAAATATCCCCTTGATTCCTCTAAAGAAACTTAGGAGGGTGGTGAATAATCTTTTTAATGGAGAGTTGAGTATTCAACGTCCTCAAAGAACAAGTTTTGCATGGCGGGAATCCAACGTAGGCAGGTAAATGATACCTATGTGATGATTTAAGGATACGACGCATCATGTCACATCCGAGATGTCCCATACGATCATGCCAAAGCAGTAGAGTGCTCTAGAACCCAGGCTCAAGGCCGGCCACATGGTAGGTCTTTTTGACACGAATGGTTGTGATATACAACCCACTTGGGAGATATTCCAACTTCTCGTGAATACACTTCTGGCCATACTCGTAAGAAGTGACACAAAGAAATTTAGAACCATTCTCTTTAGTGGTTTCAACATGATATTGATTATCTAGAATATCTCTAAAACTCAGCAACGTTCTTTCAGAACGTGGAGAATAGAGGGTCTCTTTAATGGTTAAGACAACACTATTGAACAACATTATACGAGCTTTTCCGTATCCTTCTATCAGGTTGGATGAGCCTGTTGGAAATGTACCCTAAAAGCCAATCATATGATGATAATTTATAGACATTTCACATATTAAACTAATCTAGTTTAATATATATAAAGGGCAAAAATTATTGTTTAAGTTGTCTCATATAAATGTTATATGCTTAGACGATAAGTCCAAGGAATATGTAATTGGGAGAATATGATTTAAAGAAGTTAGATTCATGAGACCATTCTCTTTCGTATACATATCCTAAACGTTCCTGATCATAGGATTGCCAATTAGGCATTAACAGTCCGTTAAAATCAGTACATGCTATGTCTTCTCTTAGAGAGAGTGACTGGTCTCGAGTCATTGGTGTGACTGACACCAAGACAAGCATGTAGGTGCTCAATAGAGAATGAGTCCATTGAACGTGATCAACAAGGAGTTCTCATACTCATGTCACATGAGAACTTATGGTTGGGATAATGCAAAGTAGTCTTTTGACCTGAGGCATCATAAT